GTTAAATTCTGATTGACATATTCTCGTTAATGTAGTGAAAATCTAAACTAACCCCCAGAAAAGATTACACTCCAAAAAGTCAGTCAGTTATGGTCTATGCGCGATGCACACTTAGGCGATCATGTATATCATTCGATACATGAATGATGAGCCAGATTTTTTCCCGCAGTAGGTTGCCATTTCTTTCTGCGGTAGAGAAGTTGCCATCCATAACTGGGGGGGTGAAGAAGAGGATTCATACCCAGTCAGTTATGTGCCATGCGTGATATACATAGGCGATCGCGTATCTTTCGATGTATGACTGATGATCAGATTTTTCCTGTCCATTTCTTTCTGCGGTAGACAAATAACTGGGGGGGAGAAGAAGATTATTCATACCTTTTCAAATTGTCCAGTCGGTTATGCCATGCGTGATATGCGGCAGGCGATCATGTATCTTTCGATGTATGACTGATGATCCAGATTTTTTCCTGCAGTAGGTTGCCATTTCTTTCTGCGCTAGACAAGTTGCCATCCATAACTGGGGGGAGAAGAAGAGGATTCATACCTTTTCCAAGGGTCAGTCAGTTATGTGCCATGCGTGATATACGCTTAGGCGATCATGTATCTTTCGATACATGATTGATGAAACCAATTTTTTCCCCAGTAGGTTGCCATTTCTTTCTGCGGTAGACAAGTTTCCATAACTGGGGGAGAAGAAGAAGATTCATCCTTTTCCACAGTCAGTTATGTGATGCGTGATATACGCTTAGGCGATCATGTATCTTTCGATGTATGACTGATGAGCCAGATTTTTTCCTGCAGTAGGTTGCCATTTCTTTCTGCGCTAGACAAGTTGCCATCCATAACTGGGGGAGAAGAAAGGATACCTTTTCAAGGGTCAGTCAGTTATGTGCCATGCGTGATATGCGCTTAGCGGCGATCATGTATCTTTCGATACATGACTGATGAGCCAGATTTTTTTTCCCGCATTAGGTTGCTAATTCTTTCTGCGGTAGACCAGATGCTATCCAATGTTATAGAACTCGGCCCGTCCTGTTATTTATCCATAACTGATGGGGGAGAAGAAGCGGGATCATACCGTTCCCAGTGGTATAAGCACGTAAGTGAATGTAATGGATTCGACTGGAATTCTATGTCGGCTCTCCGATTCCTCAATCCGAGTCGCTACCTGATTTTTTTCTGTAGTGCTTTATCTCTACTAGGGTCATATTAAACAAAACAATAAAACAAGGAGTATTACTGGTATATGTCGCTTGGAGCAATTCCAAATTTCCAGTCATGATAGAATTTAAAAGCGTTTATGCGGTCTTATCGGCGGAAAGTCGCAAGTCTATCTCTATTTTTGCTATATGAGCTGCATTCTTTAGTTTCACTTATAATCAGAGGTTTACAGTTCGGACACGCCATGCTACATCCATGGAATCGTATCATCTATATTTCCCCAACAAGGAGGCAGTTACAAAAGATAGTTTATTTTTCTCAAGATCTGTTACTTTGTGGAACATTCTCTCAAGTGCGTGCTGAAAAATTACAATCTTGACTTCCTCTTGGAAGGGGTGGTCAGTCGTTATATATCCTCCGTATCATCATAATCTTCACTTCCTACCAACCCCCTCTTAAATTCATATCAGACAACTCATTCAGTAACCCTCTACATTGAGTGTCTCTCCAGTCTTGTATTGGGTGAAGTTTAGTGTATGTCATTAATGGAATCTCATGATGAGTACTTCCAGGCTTCATCATACGAAATATGACTCTTTACTAAGCTATAGTGGACATAAAACATTCACTTAAGCCAAAACATAAAAAATTAGATATGTGTACCTTATTAAGTTTAATGATTCTTGATCGTCATACAATCATTAAAGTTGTTGGAAACTAGTTAATATTCACATTAATTGGCAACGAGTATTATTTTTGTAAATCTATGGAAGATATGAATGCGTCAAATAGGGAGTCAAAATATCATATCATTTTAAAAGCAAACATGATGCTAAATTAAGCAATTGTACCTTCAGAATAGTTTCATGGTCTGTCTATATTTTTGAGATGAGGTACACCCTTGTGCAAATTAATTGAAACAAAACCAATAATTCCATTATTATTTACCTTTTTCGTATTTTTCCAATGAAACATGACCCAATTCACATGTTAGTACTTCGTATGTCCATTCCACAAAGTCGTTCCTTGCAGATTGACCACAGATTCTCGACTGGATTTAAATCAGGAGAGTTTTTGCTTCAGTCTATAGTACTTTGATTTGCTCACTGGTGAGGCTAGCCAGTGAGTTCGTGCAGCGTTACAAATTTTCGTCCGCTTCCTTGGAGTAACGTGCATCGCAGACAAAGGCCGTAGGACAACTAATCAGCAGTCGAGACAATAACGTCTGGGCGTGATAAATATCTGATGCTATCACGAATGATGCAATATTTCTCAAGGCCAAACAAATTTCATCATACATCCAGAAAATAGATTCGTATTACTGCAGACCATTGCAAATGAATTAATCTGAGGAAAAAATAGAAATCGATTGCACCCTGTCAATCCAGTGGGTCCAAAACTGACCGTATGGTGAAAGGAAGGAAACTAAAGCAGTTGTTTCAAATAATTTGAACATAGGTTTATTGTAATAATTTACATTGTTCGAACTGCTGTCTTTATCTTTATTGCCATCTTCATGATATTTCGGCCGTTGTACGCTCCGGCCTTCTTTGGGTGACTGGAATTTTGAACTGAACACTTTATTTCGTCCACTGGGGTAGATTGTTCTAGTTCCACGTGCTGTGTCTTTTTCGGATGTCCCATTTATCTCCCGCTAACACAACTCTCCAAGTTTTTTTGTTCAGGTATTGAACTCACTCTGGGCCAAGTCACTTGATCCAACCAACGCTTTTATCCACTGAGCCATGTCTCCTTTCATGGGTTTTACAGGTCGTTTTACAAGCTTCTTAGTAACAAAATTAGTCGGGGCAATTAGAGTAAAATTTAGAAACATCTGACCTCCCGGCACACACTGACATACATATGAATAACACCGTTTTATGAAAAACTGCTAAACTTAATTTACGCTGGTTTCCACTTGGTAATATTTATCTTCAAGATACAATGCACATGTATCTTATATCTATAACTAGCAGCATGGCCCGGCGTTGCCCGTGCTTGATTAAAAAATCGTACGACTCATACAGCAATCGCTATCACTTGACTTAAAATATTTTTGCCCTTCCTTGCCTTTAAATGAGTGCCCTTTGCCGTGCTGATGTTGCTACATGCCTTACTTCTTGTCTATCTCACACTGCGAATTTTTCTAAGCTCTATACTAAACATTAAATCTGTTACGAAAAAAAGAACTAAACAAAATGAACACAAAACGATCAGCTTTAAAAAAGGACTCGTAACTGGAAAAACCGAATGAAAAAAGAATGTTAACAACAAATACTTTTTCACTCCCAACCCAGTTCTGCGGAATCAGAATCAACGTTGAGTTTAAGCAAGCGAATGAGCCAATTGGAGTAAAGTGCCATGCAGATTTAAATTTTTCCCACTTGTGACGAATGCAGCTATCGATTTTTTTTTTGGATGCTAGTTAACATTCGTGTGAGTCAGCTGTTGGCTCTCACGCTGGCCAATAGAATCTTCTTGCCTATTCGTGGCGGCCAGCTATTGGTTCTCACTTTGGCCAGTAGAAAATGGCTGCAAACTACATGAAAACTACTATAGAAGCATGAAAAATCGATTATTTCCACTATCGATGGGAGTTGGGAAATGCAAAGTCGGTCTTGGCCTTCCCACTAACTTGGAGCATGTGCATGTAAATTTTGGTGCAAATCCGTCGAAAATTGGGACCGTGCATTCGTTACACACACACACACACACACACACACACTGCCTTTTATAGATAGAGATTCTCCAAATGTATGTATATGTGTCTGTGTGTATGTGTGTCTGTGATCGGATGTTGTTTATGCATTTCAATAGATTCATCCGATTTTGATGATTTTTTTTGTTTGATAGATAATTCTTCAATACAGGTTTTGAGTACAATTTGTTGTGACTATGACTCTCCACTACTTCCCGCCCATTATAACTCTCAGCAACGTTTTACTATTTACTATCTTTTCTTGGATATACATAATTCATAAAAACTTTAATAAAAATAAATAGTTTAAATCATCACAATAATATTATTTATTATTATACAATTAAATTTATATAATTAATTATATCTATATTTATAAATCTCAAAATGTATATGTGTATGTGTGTGTGTATGTGTGTGTGATCAGATATTGTTTATGCATTTCCACAATTTTCATCCGATTTCGATGAAATACTTTTGTTTAATAGATATGTCTTCAGTGCCGGTTTTGAGTCCAAATTGTTGGCGACGATGGCTCTCCACTACTTCCTGTCCATTATAACTCTCAGCAACATTTTACTATTTACTATCTGTTCTTGGATATATATCTTTCATAAAAACTTTAATAAAAATAAATAGTTTAAATTATTACAATTATTAAACAGTTCTCTTTTTACGGCCACCTCCATTCAAATTTTGACACCCCCGACCCTGTCAATTTGGGGATGTGCCTCAGTTGCACCCAAATGTTGTTACTAATATTGATTTTCGGGTGGGTTAAATTTAAACTTAAACTGTTCCAATTGAACGGCAAAAAGTCCGACTAATGAAAGGCCCGGTCAAAGACGGGTTATCCTGCTAGTTTTTAAATAAATGCTTTTGAGATTGAGTTAAAGTAAATGTGTTGGAATCATGAACTTCTTCGTTGCTTGCGTAACTCAGCGTTCTCAGTTGCTCTGATAAAGTTAGCGAATGAATTCATTTCTTTTGCTTTTCTTCACAAGTTCTATCAAATTTGCTGTTCTTGCTACAAGGGTTAACTAGAACGCTGATGGAAACGTAAAGTGACTTTCGGTGGCACCGGTAGAGTCGATTATGCTTTTGCCGCGGGATCATGGGTATCTATTGCTGACAGAGTTTAAGCAATTGTGCCAGTGTTTGAAGAGTCGAGTTCCGAGTCCGATTGATGCAGAAAGGAAAAGAAAGAAATAAGAGGGGGAGGAGAGATGTAAAGATGTTGGAAATAAAGAGAAAAGTAAAGAAAAAAGACTAAAATATTAAGAGAAATAAGAAAATGGAAGGAAGAATACAAGAGAATAAAAGATGCAAGAAAAAATAAAGCGTGTAGACACGAATGTGTAAAACAACAATGTAAAATAGAAAAATAATGAAAATAAACAAAATAAAATAAGAGAAAAAAAAATTGGGTTGAAAGAAAAAGAATGTCACATGAAAATACTTTTATGTAGGAAAGTGAAAAGGAAGAAATTACTACGAAATCTTAAAAAAAAAAGATGAAATCCTGTAAAAATAGTTCAGACGAGGGTAGAATGAAAACCAAAGGAAAAGAGAAAAATGAAAATAAGACGCTAGAATGAAAGATGAAACGTATATTTAGAATAAAATGTAAAAGAGAAATGCTACAATGAATGATAAAACAAGTGTAGAATGAAAGATAAATAAAAAAGAAAGCGTAGAATGCAAGCCAAAATGAAAGGGGGGGGGATTGACAAATAAAAAGAACAGATAGGATCAAATAAGAAAAAAAAAGAAGGTAATGATGAAATTCTTTTTCTCTGTTAAGAAAAAAAAAAGGCAAATTAAAACTGATTTCCAAGAAATCGAAAGAATTGGATGAAATAAACGCAAAACTGAATAAGTATACCGTCAAAAAACGTAAAAGCGGAAATAAGCGAGTCTTGACTGAAATAAATGTATTTTAACGTCAACAAATTACAAAAAATGAAAAAAAAAATAAACGGAAAATGAAAAGAAAGAAAATATAGTTGAATGATAGAAAAGAAGAAAAACGGGAGAAAAGCGAATAAATAATACGAAAATACGGTAAGAATGTCGAATGAGGCGGGAGGATGAGAGAAATACAGTAAAGAAAAGAATTAAATTTAAAATAGAATAAAAACTAGAGAGAATGAGGAAGAAGCATAGATAAAAGAAAAAGCGTAAGATAAACTATATATATATATATAAAAAAAAAAAAAAACAAGAAAGAAAGACATAGGTAAAGAAAAAAATCGCTGGCAGACACGTATCGATCCGTGGCTTAGGGCGGTAAGCCGAACATCCAATCGGTGACTCTCAGTTGGATGCCCCATGTGACACGCTTTTGTCCGGTGGCAATTTACGTCACACTGTTTTTCGTAATCTTTTGCTTCAACGCAGAGCAAAGTCTTAACGTGAGTTTGTGCCAGGCGATAGTTCGACAGAAAAGCTATCAAACTCGAGGTCACCAGATCTACTGTTCAACTGCTGATTGAAGTACCAGATCAGATGAAAATTGTTAGACGTTATTCAGATATCAGGAGCAATTTTTTTTTCCAGAAAATTATCTTCCTGGTCATAATAATTTTACAATATCTATGAGGGATTATTTGGTCAAATTTTCTTAAGTTGGTTAGGCCGAAACTTTTCAACACACTCTCGTTTATCGAATCACTTTTAAAGTAATTGTATAGTTTCAGCGCTGCAGATTGTATGCAAAGAAGGTAAAAGAATCTTACTTTTATTTGTTGTACTTTAAAAGTAAAACAGCTATCTTTATAGGTCACCATGGGATTTATAAATGCAAAATGAGAACGCTTTAAATAAAATTTATTATTGGCTAGTGGTTATGCATTTTGTCAATTAATATATTGGTTCCCCCATCTTTTTACTGATAGTTCACCCAATAAATGGCCCAAGTGACATTCAAGGTAGAGGCTTACTGAGTGAGTTTGTAAAGGAGGGGAAGTAAGAGATTATTATGAGAACGAGTAGGAATGTCGAACTTAAAGAAACCAAGATTGTAGTTGTCAGAAAAGCATTCTCTCGGAAGTTTGTTCCACAAAGAAACAATTCTGGAGAAGAAGCTATCTGGGTTGAACTTGCTTTATATTGAATGAACACGAAGTAATGGGGGATGGTTTGTTACCATGAAAATGGCATAGCGGATCCTAGCTGCGAAGGTCTGAGCTGGTGGCACTAAGGAATGTAGCTGGCCTAAACATCTGTTATTGTAACAGCGATAGAGTAGTAAAAGTTTGGCGACATTTCGTCTGTGGGATAAGGGTTGCAGAGTGGAGAATAATTCATCACCCACAAGGCCGCATAAGCGCTTTTGAATTTTGTCGAGGTTCGACAGTGGTGACTGGGTAGCATCAGTTCAGATAAATCAGCAATAATCCATTCTGGGTCTGATCTAACTCTTGTAAAGGGCGGGGGGAGAGTATCGCCGTGGGAGCCAGGTATTTTCTGGAGCGGTACAAGGAACTTACCATTCTTTCATCATTTTTTGCGATGGCATTGAATATACGCGTTCCATATTCGATGTTATACTATGTATAATTTAATACCTATATCCGTATGGTGTGAAAAAATTCCGGATAGTCCAATTTGTAAGTATGCTTAAAGAAATTGGTATCGGAGAAAAAAATTCATTAAAAAACAGAAATAATAACATCCTAAAAAAAAACAAACAACACTGCAATGTCTTGTCAAAAGAAAAAAAAAATTAGTCACCCCCCTCCCAAAAAAAAAACACCGATCGAATAAAATAAGAAAAAACATAAAAGTGCTCAATACACTAAGTAGAGTAAAGTATAAAAAACCTAGTAAGGCAGCATCTACCTACCAAGGTTTCACCTAAAGGATCTTCAGGGTAAAGGGGGTAGGTCAAAGAGACCTCTTTATTGGTAAAAACAACGACCATGCACTAAAATTAGCATAAAACCATAAAAGGTAAAAGGATAAAATAAACATAAAATAACCAATAAAAAAACTTATTCTTTTATACCAGTAACCAAGCTTTCTTATGCCTGCACCCTTTGAGAATTTTCGATCTTTGGTTAAATAGCATGCTGGGGTTACTAAAAATAGCTATGACTAGTTTTTAGTTCATGCAAGGAAGCAATATCTATTGCTGGCTTAATATTTATAACATTTCTGTATTATCACCCATTTTAAAATGGAGTCGACTCCTTTATCTTTTTTTGTAATTTTCCATATATAATTGGATAGACGAGTTCTATGTCTGTAAATCTCATGTTTGAAACTGCTTATGTGGTTATACTATCTTTCTTTGAAGGGTCCCTATGTAGAACCAATATAACTTTTTTTTTTCTCATTGTTAGGTTTATTTCTATGTACCTCTGCTTTATATAGAACACATTCTGTCATTTGCCTTTAAGGGGGACGTAGCCTTATTTATGCAGTTACATTTTTTTTGGGGGGGGATTTTGCTTATTCATAATCTTTTTACTATTATATTTATTAATCCAATTAGCCATATTTGGCATACAACTATAGCTTAATTTAATCGTGTTCTTGTCAAATTCTTATCTAAGATGTTTGATGGTGGAAAATTCTTTTTTACTATTTTAAAAATTCCCTATATATATATATATATATATATATATATATATATATATATATATATATATATAATTACTTAGGATCTGAGAGTGTTCTTGGCCTGATCTTTGATATAAAATAGATAGAGTTTCGGACGTAGGAGAGAGTCTTGCTGGACACCAGCGTTGATCTCATGCATCTCAGAGGACTGACCATTAACCCATTACCTGCCATGAGCCCCATTTGGGGATCTGTTAAAATTAAAATCTCTACATGTTATTCCTTGTATTTATTATTTATTGCTTACATACATTGCATTTGAAGAGGTATATTTTACAACACTTAGCCTTTAAAGTTGTTATTATTAGCCGTAAGAAGACACTTTCTGTCGTAATTTTACATTTCACGAATAGAAAAAAAGGATGACTATTTTGAAAAGTATTTTTTTATTATTTCTAATCAATATTATTTTTTGAGGATTTTTTGTGGTTATACTATCTTTCTTTGAAAGGTCCCTGCTTAGAACCAATATAAACTTTTTTTCTCATTGTTAGGTTTATTTCTATGTAGCTCTACTTTATATATAACACATTCTGTCATTTACCTAGGAGACAGACTTGCTGGACACCAGCGTTGATCTCATGCACCTCAGAGGACTGGCCATTAACCCATTATCTGCCATGAGCCCCATTTGAGGATCTGTTAAAATTAAACTCACTACATGTTATTGTTTGTATTGGAGATACAAATACGTTAGCATCTGCAGTTGCTGTATCATATATACTCATCGGTTCTGACTAGTAACTTTTAGACTGCAACGAACAGAACATGTGAGAAACGAGATTATTTAAACAGCTTAAATGTTAGGGAAACATAATGAGGAAAGAAGACGTGGAGAATTTAACATTTGATGTTTTAGTTTCTATACAAACGACAAATTTAACTACTGAAATTAAACATAAGGAATAAACAAACTCCCAAGACACCTGTCTCGGCCAAAAATGCGTATTAAAAAATTTGGCGGTTAATCGGTCAATGACGACGTTCAAAGAAAAAGACTTGATAATTGGGAGGACACATCCAGAGATTCCATAGCTGGGCGGTTTTTTTTGCTGCAAACTTTTATGCCACACCTTGTGAATGTCATCCGAGATATCTAGGGCGATATAAAAAGGTGAACGTGACCGAGAGGGTCTTAGCTTTGAAGTTCTTAGCTAATGGATCTAAGTAATATAACTAGTCGAAACATCTGACATAGTAATAGGGATACAATGGTAAGAGACTATGAATGCTCCGTCTGTGGGATCTAAGAGTGTTCTTGGACTGGTCAAGGAGGATTGGGTAGCACCAGCCCAAATAAGGCAACAATACCCCATTTTTGTTCAGATCTGACTCTTGGGAAGAGAGAGAGAGAGAGAGAGAGAGAGAGAGAGAGAGTGTGTGTGTGTGTGTGTGTGTGTATGTCCATTTGTGTGCATATGTGTGTGTGTGTGTGATTTATCCATTACAAGTATACAAATGTACGAAGAGGTATGGAAAGTTTGGGACTTGAATAATTTTTCAATTTTCATGTCGAGAATTTTTATGCATCACATCGTTATATATCATCAGATTTTGAATTTGGAGGTCACCAGAGGTCATTAAATAACACAACATGCCATTTCTAAACGAATAAAGCAATTGATAAAGATAATAACTTTGCTTCGTTGCCATGAAGACGCACAAAGTTTTAACTTTTAACATAGACTATGTGACATTCAAGATCGCCAGAGTCTCTCGGGAATAAAATCATTGAGAGCATTGCCGCGGAACTCAGATATTTTCTGGCGACATAAAACGAACTGACCATTCGTTCAGCATCTTTTGCAATGGCACCGAATATACGCGTTGCATATTCGATCGGGAGCGAGATTAGGGCCCAGTATAGGCGTCCGAGGCCAAGAGTCTTTTCGATGGTATGACCATTCATCAGGATTGATGCAGGTTTTGCCGTTTAACATATTAAAATGATTTGGAGAGACAAATACTTTAGCATCTGAATCTTCTGCATCATATATACCCATCGGTTCGGACTAGGGACTTTTTAGACAACTACGGACAGGACTTGTGAGAAACGAGATTATTTAAACAGCTTAAATGTTAGGGAAACATAATAAGGAAAGAAGACGTGGAGAATTTAACACTTACGGGGCAAACTGAATGCAAGAGAAGCAGGGAAAATGTACTTGATAAGTTTCGACAAATTGATGCAGAAGAGCAAGCCTCACAATGACAAAGAGAAATCATAAAGGAAACTGCGGAGAATCATAATCGCCGATGTCCTGAAGAGTCATAGCACACGTGTATATGCATAATGACAGAGACACATACAAATATTGCTTATGGTAATCCAGACAGCACCATACATGTAATAAGTATTGTTCATTTGACAGTTGTATTAAGAGTAAAAACAATCCTCTATATAAAGTACAGTGTATGTATGTCTGTGTGTTTGTGCGTGTGTGTGTGTCCAAGCAACTCCTCGCTCTCACTGGTTCATAGCTCATTCAAAAGCCCTAGAAAAGTTAGGCGCAGGGAACGATTTTCGTTGAGCTCAGATTCAGGGTTGCCAGATTATGCGAGATTAAAAATATATATTAATATATTATGCTAGCCATTATCATTGCGTTCATGATTCAAGGAGAGTAACTCTTATTTATCTTTTGTATCAAAATTGCAGTGCATTATCGGGCGGCATTTAAGCTAGCTATTGTGGAGGACTCTTGGT